TACTTTAGAGTTAAATCGCTTTTCTACTTTGAAATAGATAAAATCATGGAATATTTGTCCAAAAAGACGTTCTTTATCAAAAACCGAAGAGAACTTAAAACGAACGAATCATGAATTTTTCTAATGGCACACATAAATAATAATCAAAATTCTCTAAAACGATTTTGTTCATTGACATTTAATCGTTGTCTGTGATTTTATGCATAAGATATTCAATACGGCTACCGAAACAAGATCTCAAATTGAGAAAAGTAATAAAAATATTATTGTCTCGTACTTTCATTACTAATTCATTGTTTTGTATATTATCATAATCTAATTCTACAGTAACTTCAACATCATGTAATAAAAGAAACAAAATAATTTGATCAAATATTATTAGTAAAAGCCTGGAAAAAAAACACGATTTCATAATCAAATAAATTTTCCGAACATCTTTGCGAGAATGTGGAACGATTATTAAAAAGTATCAAGGGTATAATGAAAGAAAATGATGAATCAAACAAACATGATATTCTTGAAATAGTCCATAGTAAATTAACTTCATAGGCTTGAGGATGTATTGATAATAATTAAACTATTAATAAAAAAAGCGATCAGATTTTTAAATTGCATTTCAAAATCGTTATTTTTCAACAACAATGATTCATGACAAATGTGCTAATTTAAAACAATTAAAATTAACTATATAATGAAACAGTTACATTTTATTTTGAAATTGTTATTAATTTATGTCGAAAAATTGATCGAAGTATCTTAGAACAAATCATCATTCAACATACGATGAATAGGATGGATCTTGATTTTAGTAAAGAATTCTCGAGATGTGAATCGTCTATGAATATATTAAATAAATTTTCAAAATGTTGAAAGGTTGAACAAGACTCATCTGATGCTTTCGAAAAGTCTCGTAATTTATCATTGAAATCATAGTAAACTTATGTTAATTTTAATCATTTATTAATGTCTTCATTAACTACTGTGATATGGTTAGACAACCAAACCAACATTATCATCATATGAGAAAGAATTGTCGTTCTTTACGTCTTAGATGTATACAAAGATTTGTTTCTGTCTGCACTGGTTATATAGTTTGTTAAAAGAATTAAGACGTACAAGTCTAACAACTGAGAAAGAAGAAAATGTGTGTATTTATATATGTTGATATATGAACTTATAGACTCAACGAAATTTGTCTACTTAACTGAAAGAACAAGTATCAACCATATCTGATAAATGCGTGTGGCATCATTCGCGGTAAACATCACTTTAGTAATTATAAAAAATTGTGGTCGAAACAAAACATTGAACAATTAATTCTTTTCTCAAATGTAAGGTGCCAGAAATGCAAAATTAAATCAGAATTGTTTCTCTTCACTTAATACAGTCGTGAACAAAAGTCCTGCAGCATGTCAAGATCTACTCAAATACTGACTGTTCGCTCTGAAACTTTAACCACAAGTAGAACTCGATTGATTCTGATTGCAGGCAGTAGTTCGGCTTCTACCGCCTTGATAAGGCTGAGATTTTAGATCAATATCAAATATTTTTTCACGCGATCGAATCTCGAGTTGAAAAAGAGATCCAATGACATGAGACTCGGTGTTGGAAAGGCGGGCTCTTGTTCTCTTCATAGTTAAATTTTCAATACAAATAGATATTTCTTCGTTAAGCTATGAATCATTCTTCATCAACTTATCGAACTGAAATATTATAAACCTGTCGGTTTTGATTCGAATCTCAAACTAGACTCAATCATTTGCTTTGAAAATTGTACTACAAGATACTACACTGTACTTGATTTTTCTCTGATATTTTTAGAATCATAGTTAATAGGAAAATGAAGATCCATAATATTCTATACATCAAAATACATAGCTCTCGGAAATTGTTAGATCAAAGTCTTGGGGGCTTCTTTTTACAGCATAAGTAGCTCACCGTAAGAACTTTTCATTGCACTAAAACTATGACGTTAATTCCATTCAGTGGATAAAAAATAGTATAAATTTTATTTTCATCCATTTCTTGTTTCAAAACAAAAAAAAAGACACCAACTTGTAGATATTAACCAAATTCCTTTTTTTTTCACTTTTGTTCAACTTTCACAAAACCCAGAACGCCTCAGAAATATGCAAAGCAATGTATTTTGTTATTTTACAAGTAGTGCTTTCTTATTATTTCCTATTTAGATTCTTTCGTGTTTCATCCGAAGTCCAATCATAAAAACATTCTCGGTCAAATCAGAAAGTTAATCCCGCCAATAGTTTTATTTCTTTTGAGGCTTCTATCAATCGATCTCTTTATGTTTCGATGTATTGAACTGAAATATTCAAGATGCTTATGTCATTTACTATAGCTATTGAATGTGTTTTGCTGTTTTCACATGTACAGGGTAGGAAATAATATTATTCAAGGGGGGTACCGCTATAATTTCAAATAGAAGTCATGATGAATTTTATATCAAATGAAAGCTCGTCAAGAATGGGGTATATTGGTACTAAATAGTGAAGGTTATGAAACCATTTTAAGGTCAAACTTAAAAAATTTTCAGAAATTTTATGCTTTTCTTGGGGTGAAAAATTAAGGTGTCCGTAATCCAAAACGAAGTAAACTATTTTTCTTGGATATTTTTACATGGTTCGATAGAGCTCGTTGAGCTCTACAAAACTACATATACCAAAAACTTTTAAGGTAGGTTTTTGCGATAAAAAGCTCAAAAACTTGGAAAATCTTCAAAAAATGCCAAAAAAATTCATTTTTTTTTGTATGGAAGAAAAACACTCGATTTTTCAGTAAAATTAGCTTTTTTTAATCATTTCTACTACCTCAGACGTTTCAAAATATAATCGTTCAATGCAGTATGAAAAATTGCACCAAATGAGAGTATTTTGAAACGTCTGAGATAGTAAAAATGATTAAAAAAAGCTAATTTNAATGAATTTTTTTGGCATTTTTTGAAGATTTTCCAAGTTTTTGAGCTTTTTATCGCAAAAACCTACCTTAAAAGTTTTTGGTATATGTAGTTTTGTAGAGCTCAACGAGCTCTATCGAACCATGTAAAAATATCCAAGAAAAATAGTTTACTTCGTTTTGGATTACGGACACCTTAATTTTTCACCCCAAGAAAAGCATAAAATTTCTGAAAATTTTTTAACTTTGACCTTAAAATGGTTTCATAACCTTCACTATTTAGTACCAATATACCCCATTCTTGATGAGCTTTCATTTGATATAAAATTCATCATGACTTCTATTTGAAATTATAGCGGTACCCCCCTTGAATAGTATTATTTTCTACCCTGTACATTAGTATTTGATTCATTTTATTGTATGTACCCGTAGATTTCTTATGTTTTTCTATTCGCTATAATTTGTTACAACTAGTTATTTTTCTCTTCATACAATGATATCACTTATTCTCGTATCTTTTTCGTTTTCAAAATTGCTGACATAACACATTTTTTCTTTAACATGCAAGCATGCTACCAATCCGATGGTACATGTAACGGATCTACTATGTTTATTCGAATTTCTCAATTTCTTTGCATTTCTTTATCATCAATCTCTCTATACATGTACAAGTTTTGTTAGTTTTAGCTCATTCTTTTTCTGAATGAAGAGATCGTTTGCAAGTACAGAGATTAAACAGACACGCTCGTGAACGATCGTATATGGAGAAATACGACGACGTTCATGGAAGCCATATATGGTTGCGACGATATATGCTCGAACTAGTGGGTCGTGCAATACAATAGAATACAATCATGTGCGGAGAAATATGGTCGCTTACAGATGGATATGGGCTTCATATTCATTGACCTGAGTACATATACACGCACATATATATGTATGAGAGAAAAGAGAGAGAAAAGATAACGAATAATCACTTGAACCGTGAATTCTTTTCATTCTTTATCACCATCACATGTCTATATAAATAACTAGTGTTTTATTTCATTTATTTATTTATATAACAATGACTCTTGTTCTTGTTGTTCTTGCTACAATTTTATTAGCATTTCAAATCAATGCATATCCTAATGGTGCACCAAAAAAAGTATGCACTGGTCCTATGATACCTCATCATCATCATCTTGAACCACAACCACCAGAAACAAGTCCAATAACAAAATTTAATACAGCGTGGAATTCTGATAATGAAACAATATCGAGTATAGAGATTTAATTTTTAGTAAAACATTATTCTTTTTGATTTTTGTATTTGAAATTTTCTAGTTCAAATCGAATCAAATCAACCAATGAAAGGTGTATTTGTACAAGGGCGAAGAATAAATGGTAATGAGCCACTGGGTACATTTGTTAATATTCCAGCAGAAACACATCTTGTTAAATGTCAAACTGTTTGTGAAAGAAGATTCTGTTTTTTTTTTGTCTTGTTAATTATAGATTTGTTTTTTAGGGTGATGGTATAACGCATAGTTCTCCTCAAAAATGGAAACAACTTCAACTAACATGGAAAAAACCAACATCAATAACGAATCAAGAAGAAATTCAATTTTGGTAAATATCTTTTTTTTTCTAGAAATAATTTCTTTTTTAATTTCTTTTCTAAAATTATAGGGCAACAATTGTTGTTGACTTTGAACATTTTTGGGTTATAAAAAGTATTCCTACGGAATTAAAACATGACAAAGATGTCATGACTTTCATGGATGTGATACACAACATGAAAAAAAAGGCATTTCAAATGATGAAATGGACAAAAATTGATGTTTTTCAATATGATTGATTAAAATGAACATTTTTAATCAAATACATTCAATAAAAATGATTTTTAATCAAAATTATTACATTAAATTGATGATTACACTCATATTAATTAATGAAATTGAACAATATCAATTTATATGTCTGCTTGATTATTTTAATGTAATTTTTCTTTTTGCTTTTTAAAATCCTTGAGCTGCAATAAAATTATACTTCTCTACAATATTTTTATTCATTTTTCTTCTATGTTTTTATTTACAATACACTACTACTTAATGAAATAATAATGATGGAATTTGTTTTTTCCATTTTAACCGAAATGCTTTTATTGGAATACAACAAGTAGATGTCGTTTCGTTCATAATTGTTTTCTAAATGAAAAGTAAATCGTTTCGTTTTAAAATATGCTTTTGCAAAAACTTACTTGTTTTTCTTCATGTTCATCGATAGGTAAACTATCATCTGAACGAGATAAGGTCGAATTTTGAGTTGACATTGAACGCACTGATTCTAACCACCATGTCGTATAATAAGATAATTCGTGAGGTTGATCAGATAATTTCACAGGCATAGTTATCTAGACTAGATTGTATCGAAATTTTATATGATCTTTTAAATGAATATGATATATGATATATATACCTTGTGTCTACACGATGAAATGAAACAATATATAGAGAAATAGACGTGTATTTATATAGAGATCTTTTCTTTCTACAAATAGTGAGAACAAAGTATGATAAAGTTTACAGAGAAGAATGAAACTAATTATGCTGTCTTGTTATTTTTATGTCGTTAGTCTCAAGAGAATAAACTTATAGACTCATTTATTGTTGCTTCTTAAATGGTAACATAAGACAGATATTGTTACTTTAAATAAATGAATTTAGAGGAAAAAAAAAATAATAAAGAAAATTTACTAAGATATATAGTTTTATTGTCAATGCATTCAAACAATATCGTTTTTATTTTTCTTCACATTATTTTCCTTTAGAAAAAAAAAAATGATGGCGTTCATGTAAATTAGATTTCCGCGTCTCTGACTTCAATTAGTGACTGCTTTTTTGTTTTATACTATTGATGATGTTAAATGAAAAAAATGTCATGAAAAATATTGACCAAAAAAAAAAAAAATAAAATGTTGAGTATAATTTCTTATTAGTTGTGTGTGTTTAGTTACATCTTGACACTCCTATTTTTTACCGTTAAGCAAAAAAAAAATCTGAGTAATTATAAAACCGTATTAGTTTGTCGAAATAAATCCTCTCATTTGTAAGAAGAAGCAAATAGTATAATCCATGTAAGGTTGCATTACTCATGTTTCCGGTAAGTTATTGAGTTCGATTTTATTAATTTCGATGAAAGAAAATAACATGTCTGTCAAAGATTAACATCATTGTATTCCTGGTAGATAATAAAAAGTAGTGCTAATAACTACAGCATTGTTTCATATGTTGGAATACTAACAAACTAGAATTTTTTGAACTGGAAGAAAAATATGAATAAATTTATTAACATGAATTATTCATTTGTTCTCTCATCATTTTTTTTGTCCTTCAACAAGTCATCGAATTAGTTTGGTATATACTCATGAGATTATTATTGTGTCTATGACGCACAACATTCCTACGACTTTGAACAAGTAATGTTTGACTTGTTTCCTAAATGAAAAGTTATTTGTCTTCTGTATGCATCAAATTAGTGAAATATTCCATGGACAGAAGACTTCATAGAACAAGACAGTGCATTTGTTTAATGGTAATGTTCGATGAAAACGAAAAAAAAAGAAATGTCAAACTGAGTCAATGAATTTTTCTTTCATAAACTTCATTTTTGTTTAATATTCATGTTATTTTTAATTATCAAATTTTTATGGGTTATTATATTATATATGTTTAGATCTGAAATTAATCATTGTTTATTTCGACAAGTACAACTATATCTGGTTAATGTTTCATTGATGATGACAACATAATTTTAATAATTGCTTTGTTTTTCTTTAATTCAGTATTATTTCGTTTAGTTATTAAAGAATTTTCTTGTTTACGTCAACAATTTGCTTTTCCCGTTAGTTACGCATCTATCTTCTATTTTTATTTCATAGTCGTCATTTTTGTACTCAAGTCAATTCTCTAGAGAATAAGAGCTATTTCTGTGAGTTTAACCTATTGAGCTAACTGAGCATCTTCTTATCAGAGAAAAACTGTAACCACCGAAGATGTGAACTAAAGAATCAGTGTGAATTTTTCTTCTACTGTCTTGTTAAGCTTCCTAAAATAAAACCTTAACAAAAGGTTTATGAAGTCAACACCCAAATAAAATGCTGAACAATTTTAGCTTTGAAAATGAATTTGTTAGTTTGCATGTGCACAGAAAGTTCCTGAAAAAAATCCTAATTGTGATAACCTTTTGGGAATATCTTCTAAAACTTTGGCCACTTAATAGTTTTCATCCAAAATATCAGCCTGTTAAAAACTATGGTTTTTTTCATTATATTTGTCTATGAATTTTTTTCATCAAAATCATTATCGAACTATACCAATCGATAGATTGGAAGCTGTTGTATCGGACTTTATATTCCCCTATATGTTATTACTTACTTTGTCAAACGAAAAAATTCATTATAATAAGTAAAAACGACCATTTTTTGGACTAGTTTGCATACTTTGTTGTACTCTTCTTTGCTTCTATTATTCAATTCATTTTTAAGCGTCTAGGATAAATTTTATATAGCTTTTTAGAGCATCAAAAGAAGAAGATTTTCGAGTTGAGATCGAAAACCAATATTTTATTTCACTAGAACACTCAAGCCGATGGCTAAAATTTATTTGTTCTTCATCACAAAATACCTAAATTAGTGTAAAATTATCGTCTGTTTTTTCAAATCACACATAGTTTGATAGTTATGAAAATTGAACATTAATACTTAACACTAATGAAATCGTGATGCTCTCGAATTTTGAAAACAAAATAAAATCAATAGTTTATGTTCGACTAAAACTATAGAGAGGAAAGATATCCGAAAAAAATATTCGTTGGTGTCAAATTCATCAAACAAATTATTTTTATTCTATAAGCCTTATACACTAATAGGAAAACAGTAGTCATCAGTGAAACTATTACAAAAACAAGAAAAGTAATATTGATAAAGATAAGTAATAATCTACGTGATAGGAATTTGACTTGATTACAGTAAAATAAAATAAAATAAAAATATAGCACGTCAAATGTCATGTCCATGATAAGAAATAAATAAATAAAAGAAGAACTGAATTATCATATGACACTGATATATAGTTGATTGTCATAATTCATATGAAGATATTGTAGATACTGCCAAAAAAATTCATGCTTTTGGTACCACTCAATCAGCTATCGACATACTAATTTATTTCAAAGACAAAAGAAATATGTAATTATCATGTAATTGATACATAATCATGTGCTATCAATATGAACTCATTTGGAAAATTTGCAGTACTATTTGTTGAATATAAATCAAATAATGGCACAATGGTGATACAAACATTTATATCAATTGAGGAAAATCGCTACGAATTCATTGAATAATAATTTTTAATCGTAATATTCATATTACGCTTACAGATAATTATAATTTTCTACAAAAAACATATCAGATATTTTCATCCTATCCTGAATCACCGTTTTTCGTACTATATCATTGGTAAAACTTTAAATTCAATAAATATTTCTGAGTTATAAATAAGGAACAGTACAACGCAAAATATGACGAACTAAGTATGTGCTCATTTTTTAATCTTATTATCACCGGAAAAAGAATTGAGGTGATGATTATGCTTTGATCGTGTTTCTAATAACTGTCTAGAACTCCGATCAAAAAAAAAAATTAAACTTTCTCAAAAATAGTCAATCTCTTAATTAAAAAAATCAACATATACATTGTCATGAAAAAATACCCAAATATTATGTATACTAAGCAACATTGTTATGAACTTTTCGAAACCTTGATAATACTTTATAATCAACATTTCTTTTATCGAAAAGTGTATCTTTTCACGCTCTAAAAAGCTATATAAAATTTATCTTAGACACTTAAAAATGAATTGAATAATAGAAGCAAAGAAGAGTAAAACAAAGCATACAATTCTAGTCCAAAAAATGGTCGATTTTACTTATTATAATGAATTTTTTCGTTTGACAAAGTAAGTAATGACATATAGAGAATATTGGATTTTGTCGAACAGCTTATACTCTACCGTTCGGTATAATTCGATAATGATTTTGATGAAATTTTGTTGATAAAAAAGTTCATAAAGAAAAAAGATTGAAAAGCCAGTTTTCGACCGATTAATATTTTGGATTAAACTATTAAGTCGTCGAAGTACTAGAAGACATGACCGAAATATTATCAAAATTAGGGTTACCCAAGTAACTTTTTATGCACTTTCAAACTAGCAAACTCACTGAAAAAAACTAAAATATTTCGGCAACTTGTTTGGATGATGGTCTCGTGGGCATTCTCTTACAGAAATGGAATCGGTACGATTCGAATGTTTTTTTTTTAAACTAGGATAGTTTCGCTCCAAAATAAAACACGAATTGATCCCATCTCTGTTCTTTTAATGTTAAGGAATGTTGATAGAAAAAAGCTATCAATGTCATATGATAAATTTTATTCTGTTGATTTTTGCTATCAGTTTGAATTGTGCAGATAAAACGTAGTGGATTTTTTGTTTGAATTTGATAAGGAACGTTATGAATTTAAATTCAATTTAATTCTTGAAATACAAAACATATTGGAATTAAAAAAATCAATGTCATCATTCAATAATAACTAAATTCTAAAATTGATAACTTTGTTTTGCAACAGCAGAATGATTCATCAAAATGGTGGCTTTACTTTTTTTAAACGTTGTCTTCTTTTTTTATCTCATTCTTATCATAAAATGTTTGCAGCATCTATTACATGTACAGCACGCATCTGTATTGAGAGTGATACTCGTCGTCCTCAGCTATTAAACAAAAACAAAAAAAGAAGAAAAATAGTTCAGAAGATTCGAATTTGTTGAGAAAATTTTATAGATTTCATCCTAATTTTTTTATGAAGTTTGTCAAAACTCGTTTATCAAAGATTGTTTCGTTTCGGCTTACGCATATATTAGTCTGAAGATAGATAGCATTTATACAAACATAAATCTGTTCTATATTTTTTGAAAAACTTGATTATTGAACATCAGAATTTTATTCCTTTTTCACTTGTGACGAAAGATTTTTTTAATAAACGAACTGTAATCTTCTGTAAGATTAAACGCCAGTTGAATAGCTTCACGTTATATATTTCTTATAAATTAAACACAAGTATCTACGATCAACAATATGATACATTGTTAGATCATGTTATTATTCTTCATGATCATAGAGAAAAATTACAGGAATTGAACTTGAATAATATCTGCTCTGACTCTTTTTTTTTTTCAAAATTTTTTATATTTTTGTATCAGTATAGAGGCATGGAAACAAAACTAATGCAGCAACTTCTCTTTTATAAGAATCAAAGTTAGAAAAACGAAAACTGAAAATCTCTTGCAT